AACAGGCAAGATTAGAAAGGGAGTAAAATATACCTGATAGCACAGAACATTGGTGGTGACTGTGTGCCCAGACAAGGCTAAGTACTAAGAAAATGATTCATTGTCTAATAACTAACATAGAGTGGAGGGAAGCCATCTGCATCAATAAAAATGAGTTGGTCCTGGCGGTCGGGATGCTTGCGCACAGAATGAGAGGCCTTGCATCCCCTGGGTCCTGCTTCTCTTAAACTCTATTTTGTGTCTGTCATTTCTTTATTCCTCGGTTCTTTCGGGTTCCTCTCTCAACCCTGTTCACCGGAGCTGGACTCCGGCAATACATTCTTTTTTATTTTTTATTTAAAGATTTATTTACTTACGCATACAAGAACTGGGGTGTAGACCAGAGGTGTGGGGGGTGAGAAGATTCACCAGAGGCAGAGTGGGAAGCAGAACAGGCGGGTGGACTGAAATATATTGCCTGGTGAGGGGAGCAGCCGGTCAGACAGGAGAGGTCTGCTGCGCCATGCAGGTCTGTTCCCTGGCCAGGGATCTAACAAAGGCCTCAATTGCTGACGCTCGCTGGATAGCGGTGAGACATTAACCCCCCCAGCCACCAGGGAGGCCCCAGCATACATTCTTTTTTTTTTAAAGATTTTATTTATTTATTTATACACGTACTGGGTACAGTCAGAAGCGCAGGAAGGTGAGAGAATTCACCAGAGCCAGAGCGGAGAACAGAACAGGCAGACTGACGAAGTACACTGCTGAGGGAGCAGCGGGCAGCAGGAGAGGTCTGCACGCCATGTGGGACCCTCGCCTGGTGGCCGGGGATCAAACTGGAGCTGCAGAGGCTGCGGGCAGCTTTGCAACTCAGCGCTCAACCGCTGCGCCACCAGGGAGGCCCTCCGGCATAACATTCTTGATGATATTCTTAATAAAAGAAGAAAATCCTTCCCCTCCCCATAACAATAATGGCAGGAGACAAGGATCCCCAACATTATTCAACAGCTTCCTAAGAGTAACTATTAATGGATTTAGCTCATTGACGAAAACAGGAGATATTAATATAGAAAAGCAACATCACTTGCAGATGTTGTAATCAGATGCCTTGAATGCTGAAGAAAATTAATTACAAAAAAATGAAAGAATTCAGTAAGCTGCAGAGCACTATATAAACACTGAAATGTACATCTGATCTTTATTAGGCCTGGCCTCCCAACTGTATACTACCTACGTGAGATTTGCTCATTCTACAGAATACGGGTCCAGAAACTTGTTTTCATGTGTATACTGGGAACTAATCAGGCTTAGATTATCCCATACTAAATTCAAAGAAAGTAATAGAAAAGCTACAATAATTAGTTAATTTTCAGAGGGAAAAAAAAGCCAAAAAATACATGCTTTAATCTTAAATTCTGGTGTGCATTATCAAATAGTTCATAAGAAGTGACTCAAACAGTAAAATATATTCATCCTATTTTGTAACAGTCTTCCATTAATAAGAATAGCCTAATAGGTAGGAACAAACTAAAGTTAGTATCAAAGAAAACATTTACAATATATCAAAGCATAATTAAGACTTTAGGACAGTAAGTCCATTTTAAATAATATTTAGCATGGAAAATGACTTATTTCTTACTAACTAGTCAATAAAAACTGTTGATATATTAAATGAGAAACCAGAATTTGGGTAATTTCTTGGCTTACTGTTCATTCTATCAAAATATAGTTCATTTTAACACATCGATTCTCTTTGTAAACAAAACTGTAATTAACAAATTCATAATAAATATTAAGTATATAATGGCCTCATTTGGCTGAGCTCTGTAACATAGTAGTGCATCTGCATTAAGTCTTAATTTCCCAATAGTATAATTAAATCTATAATTTTGGTCCTTATATCTCCTCTGTACCAAAGTTTGCTGTACAAACTATATAGGGTTCATTCATCAATACTAACCTAGTTTGTTAAGTTACATGAGTGGGCCTCCCCGGTGGCACAGCAGTTGAGCACTGGGCTGCAGGGTTGCAGGGCTGCCCCCAGCCTCTGCAACACCAGTTCGATCCTCAGCCACCAGCGAGGGTCCTACATGGCGTGCAGACCTCTCCTGCCACGCCAGCTGCTGCCCTCAGCAGTGTGTTTCATCAGTCTGCCTGTTCTGCTCCCTGCTCTGGCTCTGGTGAATTCTCTCACCCTCCCGTGCTTCTGACTGTACCCAGTGCTTGTATAAATAAATAAATAAATCTTTAAAAAAAAAAAAAAGTTACAAGAGTGATAATCTTTGAAGAAAAAAATGGTAATAGTAATACGGAGGTGGTATAATAAAAGATTTCTGAATATTTTTCTGGTGATTTTACACATATGTTCACTTTGTGACAATTCATTATTAGACACTTGATATTCTATATGCTGTTCCTCAGATATTTATACATATTTTAATTAAAATAGTTGATTTTTTAAAATAAGCAGATAAAGCAAATTTAAAAAAGCTACAAGGCTTATTCCTTACATCTCTCATTAAGTGCAATTTCTCTGGAAGCATGCTATATAGCACTTAGGGTCTTTGTTGCATAAAACAAACTTATCTTCAAACTCTGTATCATTCAACTTGGTGAGATGCTTACATTATTTGGTGATGGGGGAAGAGCAATTCACATCTTTTCTTTCAAGTTTTTTCCCCCCATGTCTTTTATTTTATTTTTATTTTTAAAGATTTATTTATGCATACAAGAACTGGGGTGTAGGCCAGAGGTGTGGGGGGAGGGTGAGAGCATTCACCAGAGTCAGAGTGGGGAGCAGAACAGGCGGATCTACTGAAATAGCACTGCTGAGGGGAGCAGCAGGCAAGACAGGAAAGGTATGCTGCACTTTATGGGTTAGCTCCCTGGCGGGGGATGGAACTCATGCTGCAGTGGCTATAGCGCTATGTCTTTAAGCCCTATGTCACCAGAGAGGGCCCCCAATATGTTTTAAAGTAGAAAGGGAGTTAATTGTTCTACACATACTGTCATGTGTATTCGTTTCTACCTTTTTTACTCTTTTCTTAGTCTCTCTCATTCTCCGACATAGTTGATCTCTACAGCTCAATTTCCACATTTACCGCAGATATTTTTTTTCTATAGATTTTTATTAATTTTTGCAAAGAAGAACTGGGGTATAGGCCAGAAGTGCAGAGGGTGAGAGTATTCACCAGAGACAGAATGGGGAGTAGAGCAGGCAGATTTACTGAAATGCACTGCAAAGGGGAGCAGTGGGCAAGACAGGAAAGGTCTGCTACACCATGTGGGTTGGCTCCCTGGCCAGGGATCAAACTCAGGCCATCTCTATCTTGGTGATAGCACTGAGTCCTTACCCCTAGGCCACCAGGGAGGCCCCTAATATACATATGATGTAACTAAGCTATCTATATAAACCAGAGAAGAACAAATAATTCTCAAAAAACTATATATCCCCACCCACATACTGCAGGCATATCAATCAATTCAAAATACCCCAATCACTCAAACTAAAATCATCTCCTCCCTGTACTCCCCACAATAAGACTTGTTATTATACTGGATCTCTCTGGGAGGTACAGTTCTCCTAGCTAAAACCTCAGAAACATCATTGACTCAATTCTCTCCAATATAGCCCTATACATCTGCAACAGTATTCTACTTTGGGAAGTCAAGTCTTTCTCTATAACCTTATCCTTTCCATTTCCATTGCTATAAAACTATGTTACTCCTAATACCTTGCTTGAATTATTGCAAAAAAGCTCCTACTTCCTCTACCCAGCTCTTCCCCCACTCCAATTAAACTTCCATACTGTTACCAGATCAGTCTTCTTGGGGGATAACTTTGAGCACAGTACATTTGTATAAAAAGTATTCAAAGATCCTCCCTACCTTGAGCTAAGTCAAGCCTGGTTTTTAATTTCTCTAGAGAAATTATATAAACAATCATAAATCTAGCCTCCATTACTAGTCAATATCAAAGGTAATTAACCACCAAAAGAGGAAATAAACTGAGCTATATGGAAAGCAAACAAACAAAAACAAAAGAGGGAGAAGAGGAGCTTCGACTCAGCCAGATTTCTGAACAAAGAATAAACGTGACCATTATTCAAGATTGAAGAAGCCAAAGAGAAGTCAGAGGTTGTAAAGTATTTGGTTACAGAAAAGCTGTAATGTTATTTCTTTAAATGCAATTCTGAATCTAGATCCTAGGCTGTGAAGACTGAAATTAAATGTTCTATCAGCCCAATTTCTAAGACTCTCTCCAAGCTTGAGTCTTACTTTTCCCGTGAAAGCACATTAACTTCATACTCCATGTAAAAGAAAATACCCAGCAAGAATACTGTAGCATGATTATAACCTCTGATCAGTTTCTTTTTTATTAATGAGGAACTTACAATATAAAATAAATAAAACAACAATATAAAAGGCTGTTGTTCTCTATAAAAAAATTAACAATTTATCTCATGACAAGACAAAATTTGAAAATATATTCCTAATAACAAGACATAGCTTAGGAATGATGGTTCAGTACTCACTAGTTCAATATTCTGTCACTTATGAAATCAATTACTGTAAATAATGAGAATAAACTGTATCTACAGGGAGTCTTATTTTATTAGCAACATGAAAGTAACCTAAAATGGTTAACTTTAGTTATACAGAAAACATAGTAAAAGGAGACTGATAAAAAAATTAAACACATTAAAGAAAAAATAAAAAAGAGAAAGAATTTGAACAGTATATTAAATACAACAAAGTCTAAAGAAGGGATGGCAAATATATTTTTTTTTGCACATTAACCCTGAAAAGAAATGAATTCTGAATAAGGTGCCTTCTGAAGCTGTGCTCTAGCATAGGAAAGAACACTATAATCAATAAGCAGTGTTGGTCAGAGACATGAGAAAGAATTAATAATATTACCTGCATCATGTATTTGCCATCCCTGGGCTATTCTACTCATAAACAAAACAAAACAAAACAAAAAACCACCTAATAGAATAAGCAATTAAAAAATTACTTACTGCTTCAACAGAGTTACATTCTCGTCTTGTTTCTAAATAACGTAGCGCTCGCTTTTCTTCTTCTTTTAATTTAGCATCTGCCTGTCCAGAAGTAAAATAGCAATCGTTTTTAAGAATATCAAAAGAATAGCTCAAATGATCACATATACTAAGTTCTGACTTACATATTTCATATAATTCTGTACACCATTTTGTTGTAAATACGAGGGTGCCTGTGTTCTATAAAATCTCTCTGTTGAATCCAAGTATGCCTTCTCAAAATTGTCCCTATAAATTTGAAGCTTATCTTCAGGATTAGAACAAAGGTTAACTGAAAAACAAAAAATAAAATTTAACTCTAATTATGATTCAAATCAGTATTTTGAGTACAATAAATAAAATAACAAAATAGAGGAGTTATTATGTGCAAAGGACTATGAACATAAAATCACATAAGACAAAATCCTTCTCCATAAGAAAAAAAAGATTATAGCACAGAGCAGTAAAGTAACAAAGAGTATAGGTAATGTGGAAAGAGATCCACTGGATGATTAAGAAACCATTCACAGAAGAGGTGGAATTTGAATTGAGTCTTAAGGAATAAAGTAGGATTTACATAGCTCGGGATTAGTAAATAATTAAATGTTCAGAAGTAGAAAAGCATAAGACAAAGTGAAGGTACAATGACTAGGCTACTTGAGTGGATTGTAGAAGAAAAAAATAATATGCGAAGTTAGGACGACGGGTTGTGGGAACTCAAATCTCAGGCTAAGTAACCTGAACTTAGCATGTTGTACCACTAAGGGGTGAGAAAAACAAAACAAAACAGTACTTTAAAATAATTTGCATGAAAGAAACAAAGGTTGAGAGAGAGCCAAACTAAAAAACTAACCTTTGAAAGCGACTGTGGAATGGGGGCAACCAGAGAAGAAGGGGGACACAGACTGGGAGGGAAGAAAACAAAGGGAGGGGGCACAAGAGCCTAGGTGGTGAACTATGGGTTCTTTTGGTGGAGGGCTCAGTATGGCAAAAATGCCTGAAGGGGGGCATTCTACAATTCTATAACGAAAATAGCAATGTAAACCTGTATTAACTCACTAAAAACTAATAAAAAAAATAATTTTGGTGAATGAGTTAAATGATAGCATAAAAAGAATGTTTCAAAAGTCCAGATGTAGATTTTAAATTAGCTTAAACTGTTAGATGTTGAAATAAAAAGGAATAAATTTCATGGAAGTTGCTAATGAAAATGTAAAGACTTGGTATATAAGGAAATATCGGGACAATGGGAAAAGTCAAAGATAACTAAAATTTCATGAATACAAAAACTGTTATCAAGAACTACTTTGTGCTAGGCATTCTATGTGCAGGAAGGGTAGAGAACAACCCAGTAAATTAGACAAAAGTATTATGACAGGGAAGCACAAGTATTGTGACTAGGAAGCACTGAGTGAGAGGACCGCACTTACTCTGGAATCAAGAAAAATTTCTATGAGGAAATAGAGAATGCAGCTGAGTGAAAAGACTGGGGGGTGGGGGAGGAGGAAAGAGAGTTTTTAGTTGAAGGAAATAGCTTGACTGATTGAAAGAACAAATGAGAGTATCATTGTTAGAAACTAAAGAGTTAGGAGACAAATGTACACATGGAATTAACAGATTTCCTGAAAATGTTAAGTACAAAACTAGTTACCTTTATGAGCTATAGATTCAAATCTACATTTCTCTCACTTAGGTCACTGAAAAGATTTAACAGCCAAGAAATGAGATGGAGAAAATAAATATTAACCACAATAATCATGAATTTCTGTATAAATCTTTGTGTATACTTAAAACATCAGGCATTAAAAATAGACATGGCTATATGCTAATAAACATAACTTTGATAGCACTATTTTATTATTGTCTTGGAGCTTTCATGAAAAGGAAATTATGATTAAAACATACCATAGGATTCTCTTACTCCAATGACTAGCTGAGAATCAAAAGCTTCTCCTAATCTTTCAGCATGCACCAGCTTCATTGCACTATCTTGGAGTCTGTTTTTTATATTTGAAAAGATTGATTCATTCCATGTATCAAGCATGAGCTAGGAAAAAAAGAACAAAATATGCAATTGTTTCAATTATGAGTATACCAAGTACCATATATACACATAAATTGTAAAAAACGTGTTTCAGAATCAAACATAATTGGGTTTTAATTTCAATATTACTTATTTACCTGCTTTGCCGTGTATAAATTAGAGAAAAACAATACAAATTTCAAGTGGTTGTTCAGACTAAATATGATAATACATGAAATACTGCTATGTGTGTGAAATGCTCGTATGCATGTTTGAATAAACAAATAATAAATGAAAAAGGATAAACTTAAAATATGTTTGATATTGGAACTTAAAAAAATAAAAGAATACACAAATCTACCTTAGAGATGTCCCATTTGAATGATGGCAATGGTTTATACACACTCATGAGTAAGTATTACTTTCACAAGTAACTTTTTCAGATATAGGAAATATATTAATAACAACATTAACAATGGTGTCGACAATAACAATAGTTATGTAACACTTACTATGTACCTAGCACTGCTCTAAGCATTTCCACCATCACTTGCTTAATCATCACAATCAAGAAAATAGCACTATATCCCTCTCGGACATGTTAAACCTGGGCCACAGAGAAGAAAGTGAACTCTCCCACATTTACACAGTTGTATGGGGCAGCACTGAAACTTGAGTCTAACAGCTCTGGCCCCAAAATCTAAGGTCTTAATCATTAGGTGAAGTTCATTCCCATAATCAAAAGGGAATGGAAAAAGGAAAAGCAACCCAAGAGAGTACAAGATTAAGGAACTGCAAATTTAAAACCATCTCGAACTTTTATTTTATTTTATTTTATTTTATTTTTGAGGGGGATACAAATTTCTCATGTTGCAGTTATTTCTGACACTGAAGAAGCTTTGGGTATCTAAATGTATAGTATTCCTGTCAACATAAGAACAGATTTTAAGACCAGGAAGGGGAGCAATGCCTAGGCCATTATTTGAATTGCCTGAGTGTACTGCTATAACCATCAGAGCATGTAGTAAGTTGTTGAAAGTTCAAATGGCATTTTTTTAACTTTTTAAATCTATAGTTCCATTTAATTCTCACAGTAGGAATATATATGATAAAGAAGGACAGAAAGATTAGGTCAGTAATGAATGAAGAATTCAAAGGGAAACCAAGACTCCTCACTTTCAGAGCTGAATTGTTTCCATTAATCATGAACTGTTCCTGGGCACAGTGTTTCTAACTAGACACTGTACAAAACATGAAAATCAACATAGTATATATACAGATCTTACAATAACTGGGATCAACAAAAGTTTATAAAGGGGGCCTCCCTAGTGGCACAAGGGGTTAAGTCACAGCACTATGAAGCTGTCCACAGCCACTGCAGTACCAGTTCAATCCCCAGTTCAATCCCCAGCCAGGGAGCTGACCCACATGGCACAACAGACCTCTCATGTCTTGCTCGCTGCTCTCCTCAGCAGTGTATTTCAATCTGCCTTTCTGCTCCCCACTCTGGTCTCTGGCCTCACCCCCCACATATCTGCCCTATATCCCAGTCTTGCATGCATAAATAAATATTAAAAAAAGAGAAGTTTATAAAGATGATAGCAGCACTCAGACACAATTAAACACAAAGATTCCAGAAGGTAAACTAATAAAAGGGATTTTTGAAAGAGAATTTAATTTATTTGAAGATGAAAGTATGAGGAAAGAAAAAGAAATAAAATACTGAAGATAAAACTAGAACGTGAATGTGAAAAGGAAAAGCAAAGAAGGTAATGTTTGAAGACACATGTCTACAGTTTAAGATCACCTAAAAAGATAAAGGATAGTTGAAGCTAGATGGATGAAAAAAAAAAATATTAATTTTTTTTAATAGAGGCATGTTTTATTTATTTGTTTATTTGTTTGTTTTGTTTATACATGCACTGGGTACAGTCAGAAGCGCGGGAGGGTGAAAGAATTCACCAGAGCCAGAGCGGGGAGCAGAGCAGGCAGAAGGACCAAGGTACACTGCTGAGGGGAGCAGCGGGCGGCAGGAGAGGTCTGCGCGCCATGTGGGACCCTCCTCCAGTGGCTGGGGAGCAGCCGGGGATCGAATCGGCGCTGCAGAGGCTGGGCAGCTTCGCAACCCAGTGCTCAACCGCTGCGCCACCAGGGAGGCCCGAAAAAAAAAAAATTAAATGAAACCCGGCAACAACAGAAAAGAAATATGCATGTAAAGTATAAAAACTACTTAAGGTCTAAGTTACTTATCTCCCTCTTTCTGACTATTATTCGAGGAAAAAAAAATGGGAAAACTGACTTACCTTTCGAACAATACTGTCTTCTACATTTGATTTTTTACTGCTTCCCTGTTTACCCATTAATGTAATCTCCAGCTGACAAAAAGGCTTCGGTAAAATGTCACATTGTGTAAAGAATTTTCGCCATTCAACAATATAAGCTTTTAGCAAGGCTGTATCATCTTGATGGCTCAGAACTCGCTGAAAAAAAAAAAAGGAATCACACCAATATGAAATAACAGGTACTTTAAAGAATAACACATTTATGCTATAAATTTAAGATACATCACTTACTATACAGACTACACTATAGCCAAGAAAAGTTAAAACATATGTATCTATCCAAAGAAGTTAAAACACGTTCATAGACTTAATTGTAGTATTCATTTTGTAATATATATATTGTAATATATACATATATTAAATCATTATGTTGGACACCGAAAACTGAAATGTTGTATGTGAGTTATGTCTCAATTAAAACAAGAACCATGTATCTTTCAGCTATCACCTACTTATCCTCTATCCTTTCTGCTTTCTTCTCCAACTAAGCAACCACTAATTCACTTTCTATGACTAATATACTTACCAGTTGTGGACTTATATACATGAATGAAATCATATAATATATAGACTTATTACTGGCTTCTTGAATTCTGAATAAAGCTTACAAGGCTCATCCAAGTAGTAGTATGCATCGACTATGTATCCTGTTTCTTTTCATAGATGAATACTAATGTATTTTATCAATACATTACATTTTGTTTATTTATTTGTCTATTGAAGGACATTTGGGTTGTTTCCACCCTTTGGCTATCATGATATGATAAAATCCATGTATGAAAAAAATGTTCACAAAAATCTTGTGCACAAATGTTCATTGCAGCATTATTTAAAATAGACAAAAAGTGGGAAAAACAAATGCCTTTAATGAACTAAAGGTGGGAGAGTCATACAAGAGAATATTATTCAGTGATTCAAAAGGAATGAAGTACTGACAAATGCTATCACAGATGAACCATGAAAACATTATCATAAGTGAAAGAAGCCAGTTATAAAAGGTCACATATATATGATTTCACTTCATAGGAGGTGTCCAAAATAAACAAATGCATAGAGCAGAAAGCAGATTAGTGGTTGCCAGGGTTTCGGGAGGGGATTACTACTAGGGGAGTAACCGCTAGGGGTTACTACTAGGGGAGTAACTGCTAATGGGCACAGTTTATTTTTGGAGAGAAGAAAATGCTCTAGAATTAGTGGCAGTGGTTGTGCAACTTTATGAACAATTAAAAGATAGTAGAGTCTATTTCTCCCTCACTAGACTTTGGGCTGTTCTTATGAGGTGCTCTGAGCAACAGAACGCATCCATGTGACATTGAGACTTCCAAGCCAAGACCTGAAGCAATCTTGTAGATTGCACTATCACCTCGAAGGCTGGTGTTCCTAAGAATGAGAAACTAGCTAAGGGGACAGAGGCCCAACTGAGAGCCACATAACAGGTATGTGGGTAAAAATCTCCTAGACCATCCAGTGCCTGCAGCGTCACCAGTAGATTGCTGCCAAATTAGTAAGATTCAGCAAAATCTGGTGAGCATACCAAATTGTTAAATCTCAAAATTATACGGGAAAAAAAGTGATATTAAAAAAAGAAGAAAAAGCCAACTTCCCAGTAACTTCCCAGGCATTGTACATTTATTTTCATAAGCTCAATTAGTCTAGTAATCAACTAGTAAAAATAACGCACAAAGTTATTTACTTAAAGATTTAAAATCTTTTAGAAGATGACTGGCACTTTTATTCCTATGATTTAACTGCTCTGAATCAGTGACCCTAAGTCCCAACCTCTGGTTCTTGCTGAGGTCTACATTACAGACTTTACTGAGTCATATTACAGTGAAACCTTTAGCATATTTTGCTTTCTAATGTGAAGCATATTTTTAAACATTTGCTAACGGTTTCTAAGCTGACATTATGAGTCTGTTTCTAGAAACTGAAGAATAAAGCTCTACCAATTTGAAATAAACATAATTTATCATCACCAAAACTCAAACAGATAAACTGATAAGCATTCCACTGCCAGTTTAAACTGTATTTCTACATCAGTTCTAGAAAAAACAAGTTTTGATTAAATTGAGATATTGAAACATTTAATTTTTCTGAGCAAAGCCTGAAAACAAGATTTATTTACATCAAAAGATAATTTCCTATTGAACTATATATTTTTTGAATCATTTATCAAGATGGCAGAATGAATGGTGTTAATAAATCATTTCACTTTGTTAGTAATATCTAATGCAACACCATTCTTACTTTACCATAATGGCTACAAGCAGAATTAAATACAAACCAATCAATAATCAATTTTAATGTCTTTAAGTCACACATGGATAAATTCATTTTTAATTTCCAACTGTTTAAGCAGCTATTAATTTAAAAACATTTCTAGCAGACAACTTTTACTAAATGTATACGACACAGATGTAAAAAATCAACTGAAGGATAAGAAATTCTAGCCTTTTCAAACTTCATTTTATAAAAAGGAAAATCATCTCGCGTCCTTAAGACCTCCTTCAAAGTAGTGAGGAATGCATTAGTGAAGCCATAGAGGATTCAATGTAGAATATGCAGGATTTGAAAATATACTTTACCTCTCCATTAATTTTTCCCAAAAGACAAAGGTGTTAATAAAACAAAACAAACAAAACTAGCTCTTGCATAATTGACCTAATGCCTAAATGAGCTTTGTCTTCATTTCAATAATATTAAACACATATATATTATCAATTCAAGAGTGCTGAATTTCAGCTCAGCAGCAGCAATGCAAAGGACAGTCCAAGGATAATACATCGGAGAAGTATCTGGAATTGAAGAAAATTACTGTCAGCTTCCAAAGAGGTATAAACCGTGAGAGAAAAAAAAAACAAAAACAGATTTATGTGGACTGATGTGCAGCTAAAAAATAATGGTGGTGGGGGACTTCTAAAGGATGCATCTTTTAATTGAAGAAATAACATACTCGCTTGACAGAAATGTCACTGAGGGGGAAAAAAAACAAAGAACAACAATCATTTCATTTAAAAATCTACTTAACAAATGTCAAAAGTCAATGTGATATCTTCGAATTACTTCAGGAAGTCCTACATTCAAAATCAGAAAATATGATATTCTCTGAGTAAAACCTTAAACTTAATATAAAAATTAAGAACTTACTGCTTGTGCTTGCTTAATAAACTCAAGAATATCTTCTTTTAAAGCCTGATGAATTTTTGCTGGGCCTTTATCATCCCAGAGACAGACTGCATGCACATCCCTATAAAAATAAAAATGGTAAATAATCTTTAACACTGGAACATGAACAAAGACAAAACTCATAATAAATGCAGTATAAATAGTTCCCATGAGCCAAGCTAGACCAAGCTCAGGGTGCTTGAATCATTTATATGAACCAGGCATTCTTTGGAAGCTGACTCACAAAATATATTTGTTTCTATTCTTTTTTCCTTTGTGATTGTTTTCCTCCTTAAATTTCTACTTACTTAATAAGACATTTTTAATTATAAAGGCATGCCCTCCTCTCTCAATCCATCACGCAATCCCATTCCCCAAAGTTAATAATTACTTTTTAAAAAGATTTATTTTATTTATACAAGGGTTGGGGTACAGGCCAGAGGCACAGAAGGGCGAGAGTATTCACCAGAGACAGAGTGGGGAGCGGAACAGGCAGACAGAGAGAAAGCACTGCTGAGGGGAGCAGCGGGTGAGATAAGAGAGGTCTGCTGCGCCATGTGGGTATCTCCTGGTCAGCCGGGAATCAAACCGGCGCTGCAGAGGCTGTGGACAGCTTCACAGCTCTGCGCTCAACCCGCTGAGCCATTGGGACGGCCCAAAGTTAATAATTATTAATAAGTCCTTTCAAGTCTTCAGTATAAAACATGTAAACTATTCTTCTTTAAAAAAGTTGTCATTTAAATCTTATTACAGTGATTCTCCTAGCTTCGTCCATATATTTATTACATGTATATATCAATTCCCACTGTATCTGTTATTTAAAAACATAACAAAAACAAAAGGTCTCATAATTTGGTATACAAAAACTGTGAATTTAAAAAGCTGACATACTTTACCCAAAGGTCAACTATTGAAAAATATTTACGATTAACACTATACAAAGTTCATTTAATTACCAAGTTTTAGGGTAGGGAAACAAAACAAAAGGATAAAAACTTATATCAAGAAATTTTTATTATAGAATGTTCCCCCAGTGACTCATTCAGTATTTAATGGAACCCCTGTTAATAGTCTTCTGGACCCAGTTCCAACACGTTGTGGAGGCTTCCCCAAATCAACAAGCAATTCTCAGACACAGGCAGTGTCCGAGAATTCAACTCAATTCTGACACTCTCTACCCACAGACAGCATCAGATTCTAAAGGTAAAGAGTTCAGTCCCCACAGACCACCCTTTTCTTCAGATATCAACTGTAAACCCAAGTTGTGAGCTGTGCTTCTTAGCAATTGGCTACAAACTGGAGGTTTCAATCAACCCCAGACTTAGGATGCCAATCACAAGTTCAGGCTCTTAAACCCTTTGCTGCGTTAGATTGATTTGCTAGAATGGCTCACAGAATTCTGGAAACTGAATTCAGCTTACTGATATATTACAAAGGGTATTTAGGGATAAAAATCAACAGCCAGATGAAGAGAAACATGGGCAAAGTCTTGAAGAAAAGATAGTCTGTCCTCATGGAGCCTGGGGTCTGTCATGGTGACACATGGAAGCATTCTGGCTCCCTCACCTAGAAGCTCTACGAATCCCCTCCTTTAGAGTTTTTATACAAACATCATTAAATAGGCATGATGAATTCATTAGTCATTGGTGACTGATTCAATCTCTACTCCCTCTGTTCCCCCAAAGGATGGTGGGATTCAAAATTCCAACAGTAATCACATGATTGGTTCAACAGGCAACCAGTGCCTATCCTTTGGTCCTACCTAAAAGTCACTTCATTATCCTAACAATGGACACCCTTAAAGCTCTCATTACTTAGAAAATCCCAAGGGTTTTAGGAGCTCTGTATGAGAAATGGTGAAGAAGAAGAAACATGTATTTCTTAATACAAGCTGTAATATTATATAAAAAATATCAAAGAAATCAAAATATCTCCAGAATTCTAACAGGCTGTTTGACATTCATATTCTTCAGCTCATCATTACAACACAAAGTTTTGCCTGCATAGTAATTTGAACTTGTTTTTGTTATTTGTTAAATTCATCTTAATTGTGCTATCTGGCCCAACGCCCAGCATGCAGTAAGCACACAAATATTTGTTAAATAACAATAGGTAACATCTAACTGCTTACTGTGTGCCAGATACTATTCTAAGCTGTTTTAACTCACTTAACCTTTACAGCAACTCTAAAGTATTATTACTCTTATCATCATTTTACAGATGGGAAACAGAGGCAAAGAGAGGTTATATAACATCTCTTTGAATACACAGCTATGATAAAAATACATGCCAAACGATTTCACCAAATGACTCTTGCAACCCTTCACCAATCCATTCAACAAACAGCAGCCAAAGTGAACTTTATAAAACTCAAACTACACATTACCTCTATACTTAACATCCTGAAATTCTCTCCCATTGTTCTTGGAATAAAATACAATAGTTCAACCACAAAGAGGGTTATTTGGCACCTCTCATTAGTAATACCCCTGAAATCCATGACTAAAACAATCTACAGCCTAAAAGAAGTTGATTGATTGGTTATAATTCAATAAATTCACAACTGCTAGACGTAAACACAAGATGGTTTAGGGATTCAAGGAGGGTGAGCGTAGAAAGGAAAAGGGAAGGTTCCCTACAAGAGTTTGTTCCTAAGTCTAACCTTAAAGAACCAGTGGAATTTTGCCAGGCAAAGGTGGAAATGGGTGGGGAAGGATATTTTATGAAGTAATAGTGTTAGCAAAGAACTGTGGTTCACTACAGTATTTGCAGTGAATGTAAACAAATCAGTGTGGTTATTATTGTAGAAAGGGAAGTGATAAGAAATTGGGCAAACTTTTCTTTAGACCCTATGTTCAGTCACTCCAGAAGGGACATAAAGTATACATTGCGTAAATTACTCTCCCATTTAGACATTTCCACCCATCACAGCAACCCATGTCACAATCACCATTACCTTTTAATTAGTTTATTATAAGAAAAACTAACACATATTGATTGCTTACTGCATTTTACACATTCTGTCTTGTGTGTTAGTTTAGGTCTACCAGGGAGCAGGTGGAATTAGACATATGAGAGATTTATTGAAGGAAATGCTTGTGAGGGAAAATGGGAAGTGAACTACAGCAAGATGGGCAAGCAATCTACCCACAACACCAGTGTGATCCCTGTAGGGAAGAACAGGAAAGGAGGTTGGGTACACAGGAGTCTTAGGCTGCAGTGCAGTTCTAAGAAACTCGGGTAAAGCTGTTGGAGACTTTTGCAGCCGATCCAGAATAGGACTACCTCTATATCCCTACCATACCCACACTACTGCTGGGCATATCGAATGGGTTTGTCTAAGGAAAGAGAGAAGAGTGTAGCAAAGGATATGGGGTTGGCTAGCTCCCTAGAAATATTACCCAAAAGTCAAAATTGTAATCACTCTAATTCATCATCTCCAGATCCCTTTTCTCAACAGATACTCTTGTGTTGCTGCATCAGAGGATTATATTCTCAGTATACTCATTATTCAAAACACAATGTACTCAGGATCACACAAGATATACCTAATGTACTGGATACATAGGATGTAACAAGATTCCAGTTAACTTTTTTTTTTTAAGATTTATTTATCTATGCACACAAGAACTGGAGCACATGCCAGAGGTGCAGGAGGCAAGAGGATTCACCAGAGACAGAGTGCGGAGCAGAACAGGCAGATCTGCTGAAATACACTGCTGAAGGGAGCAGCGGGCAAGACAGGAGAGGTCTGCTGTTCCATGCGGGTAGCTCCCTGGCCAGCCAGGGATCGAACCTGTGCTGCAGAGGCTGCGGATAACTTCACAGTGCTGTGCTCAACAACCCCCCGCGCCATCAGGGAGGCCCAGATTCCAGTTAACTTTTACACATTCTAATGAACATATTATAATACTTGAGTACTGTATGATAATACCCTTAGTCCACTATATATTTCCACCCTTGAATCTGTTCTCTTCCATTCCTTCATAGAAGTAATCAGGCCTGAATGTGTTATTTTTTCCCCAAGTTTTCGAACATACTATAGCAATTTCTGTACTTTATAGAAATCATTATCAAGTAATTTTTTCATGCAACATTGTTTCTGATATTTACCAAGGTGCATGCAGTTTTAGTTCATGCACTTTATCTGTTATATCAAAAGGAATTTCACCATAAAAGGGAGTCATAGTGAACATCGAATAAAAAATTAACTGAGTAGAAAGAAACACTCTCTTTAAATATATAACCAAAGTACTTTTTTTTTTTAAAAAAGATTTATTTATTTATGCTTACAAGAGCTGGGGTAAAGGGCAGAGATGTGGGAGGTAAGAGGATTCACCAGAGACAGTGAGGAACAGAACAGGCAGATTGACCAAAGTACACTGCTGAGGGGAGCAGCGGGCGAGAGAGGAGAGGTCTGCTATGCCATGTGGGTTGCTTCCTGGCCAGCGGGTCACGCTGCAGAGGCAGGGGATTGCTTCACAGTGTGCTGTTTAACCCCTTGCGCCACCAGGGAGGCCCCCCAAAGTACTTTTAAAGACGGACCTGCTCTTAGGGAAATTCCTTTTAAATAACTAAGTAGAAAAATCAAGGAGCTGGAGAGTGGAAGAGGGAGGAAGGAAGTTTTTCAAGGTTTCAAGGGGACAGAGAGGGAATGGGAGAAGAAACAGGAGGTAAATAGTATCCAACTTCTTGGGTGGAAGAGAAGTAAAGGAACAATAATGTGATCTGGCATAAAAAATAATTCTTTATTATTCCAGTGAATAGCAGCACCACATGCTTCTGAAAACAGGAAAGTACCCAACCACTTAATGGAAGTGAACTTACAGATTAACAAAAATAAGGAAAAGGAAAAATGAGGACATAGTGTCTAACAAATGATAGTTATGAAACAATAAAGACAAGAATGTCAGACATAACACTAAACTTCAACTGAATAAATTATCCCTTTAGATGACACCATGCCTTTCAAAAGGACAATTATTATATGATTCCATTGTTATGAACTATTTAGAATAGGCAAACAGTAGAATGGAGGTTATCAGGGACTAGGGAATAGGGTATGAGGAGTTACCACTTAAA